GACGCAGGAACGAAATATTCCGACGAAACACAATTTCGCCCAACAAATGTTACCCATGTAACCTTGCCCCCCAAAACACAGACCCAAGTTTCGGCGCCCCAAGTGGGCACCTGACGAATTGTAGGCTCTAGTTTGTGTTTGCAAGACACACTTTCCAGGCCTGCGAATTTTGCCGCTCAACCTCCTGTCGCTGACTCCTTCGGCCTCCAGGCCTACCTTGTCCTCCTATCACAACGCACACCCTCAAACAACTTTCCTACCGATGAAACTCTTGGTACGGCGGTTTTAAGCTCGTTTTCTTTTTCTTTTTTGGGTGGCAGGACAAGCGGGCGCAGGAGGGCGATGCACCATCCCAAGCTGGTACGTCTACGACAACTGAGTGAGGCATTGTTTATTGGGATATGGATGGGTGGTGGAAGGAAGAATGACCAAGGGCATAAGGAGGCCAAACCAAGTAAAGCATAAAGATATAGAGCATTTGATGGCTGGCATGGTGGTGAGTCATGCGTTGCTTCTCATATGTGGGAGTAACATTGAGAGTGAACCCATTTTGTAGAAACATTTGACCAAGACTTTTGCACAAGGGGTTTTCTCAACCGTTCACTGTCCCTCTACCCTAGGCAGGGTTATTGAATGCTACATTTCATGCTTCCATGTATGTATATGCTATCAATTGTGGCCGTTTACGTCCAAATAGCTACGCGGCTACGCCCAGCTGCTTCACGTCGCATGATTCTTGGTTGTAAACAGTGGTCAATCTTTCATCGGTTGTAACGAGCCTCTCTTTGACGGGTTGGACTGCGGTTGTCGAGGTGAGGGGCACGCGCGCGCGCGACCCGTCCTTCCTCCGTTGCCCATCTCGTAGCCGACAACTCATGAAGCTACTGTATCCGCTGGCGCGCTGTCTGCACGAGCGAACATGCAAAACGCGACACGAACTGGCAGCTTCCCCAAGGAATACGGTAGCCAAACCTGCCCCTGGCTGGTCTCCGCGACCCTGCCCTAGCACCTTCGTGCTTACTGGGTGGGGTGGAGGCAAGAGTCGCTCGGGCAGGTGCCTTTGTGGCAGGGCATTTCAATAACCTTCAACTCTTCAGAATAATTTACTTAGAAATCTTCTATTCAAGTGACATAGAGGAGAATATCTGCTTCCAGAATGAAATAAATATATTAAAATTGAATTTTTAAATATCATTAGTTTCAGAAGTTTTTCATAATATTTTAAATATATTTAAAGCATAATCTAGGACTGTACCAATTTAAGTAGCTAACTCGTATACTTCAACATGAATAATATGGTTACTTCTCTATGTTTGAAAATGCTTGAAGCTCAAGATTGATGCCTCCGCCTAGGCAGAAGCATGGAGTTTGGCAGTATTCCCTGCCAGCTGGTCAGACCTATGAACAGTGGGTGCATTCCGCCAATGGGGTGGACGATCAAATGACGGGGGATTGGCGGTCCACTGGTCGGTTGGTTGACGGAACACTGCACCGAAGCACCGTCGTCATCGCAAACACGGTGCCTCCTGCTCCACCGACAAACCGTCTCTCCCGGACGGAGCCCCAACGAGAAACAGTGACGGCTGGAGGAGGTCAACCCCCGCCCCCCAAATCTCCCGTTTCGATTTCCGAACCACGATGACCGCACTGCCTCGCGGTCGGCCACTAGGCGCGACTCCCCCCAAACCTCGATCTCCGCCTAGCTCCACTGCCGCGTGGGCGCGGCAGTCCCCCCACAGGCGCGCGCGCATCCGTTCCGTGTTCGTTACAGCGCGCTGCCACGTGGCTCATTCGCCCACCTCCCTTTTCCACACCAGCCATTCCGCTTCATTTTCCTGCCCCGAGTCTCCCAGCCCCGACTCCCCGAGTGCTCGGGGCGAAACGCCAGAAGAAAATGGTGGAATGAAGAGAGCTCATTTCCCTAACCTGGGCGACTCAGTTTCCACTTTCATTTTTCACCTGACTCGGATTCCTTCCCTTTCCTCCCCTTCTCCGCTTGTCCCGTGTTCCACTCTCCTCCCTCATTGCCTGCATCGAACCAGCCTTTCTCCTCCCCACTACTGTACAGTACCAAGCCTTTTTCCTTCCGAAGGGACCACCCTCACAACAGATTTCAGCAGGCCTTCCCTCCGTGCCCCGCACGCTAGAGGTAGCTCCTCCGCAGGTGCAGTACCCGCGTTTTTGTGGCTGTAAGGGAGGTCCTGTTCTGTCGCATAACCCTCAACAGGCAGCCGTCTCGCTAGCGCCAGTCTACAGCTCCTAGTTCTTCACTCATTTGTTCTTACCAGTTCCTAGTGGGGTTCAGGAACCAGGATACCAGACGCTCGGCTCAGAAGACCTGCCAACTGGCCGTAACGGAAGTATGTTAGCATTGCTAGACCCTAGTTTTCACAAGTGGCCTCTGCCTCGCTAGTAGTGCTGGGGAATAGGCGAGGGCCATTAGGTTTTCCGTTGCTAGACGATTACACTATTTGCGAGAGCAGCATCATTTTTCCAAGAACGCTTCTCTGCGTACATATTATTTATAAGATTAGCAAGAGACCAGCACGAGAGCACCAGAGCAGCACGAGATCAGCACGCGAGCAGCACGATGCATAAGAATCAGCTCCAGGAGCTCGCACAGCGCAGCGGCTACAACCTCCCGTCGTATGCATGCATACGCGAGGGCCCGGACCACGCGCCCAAGTTCAAAGCCACCGCCACGTTCAACGGCGAAACCTTCGACAGCCCGGGCTACTTCTCGTCGCTCCGCCAGGCGGAGCACGCGGCGGCGGAGGTCGCGCTGCGCGTCATGTCGGAGCGCAGCCCGTCGCAATGCATCGCGAAGATCCTCGACGAATCGGGGGTCTGCAAGAACCTGCTGCAGGAGACCGCGCAAAGAGCGGGCGTGCCGCTGCCGGGGTATAACACGGTCAGATCTGGCCCGGGCCATCTGCCGGTGTTCACGTGTACGGTCGAGGTCGCCGGGCTTCAGTTCACCGGGGAACCTTCGCGGACGAAGAAGCAGGCCGAGAAGAACGCTGCTCTTGCCGCGTGGACTGCCCTAAAACGATGTACGTTTCGTCCTTCCATCTCGCGTTCTTTGTTTTTCTCGTCTTTTTCTCTCACATATATCTCTTCGTGTGTATTTTTCATGCCGATATTTGCTTTCCGTGCGTAGTAGCATTCGTTTCTTGTTTCGCATCATCTCACTCGATGCTTCCGTTGATGCGTGTTTTTTTCTCTTCAGATGCCGGTCGCAACTACACGGCTCCGATCGAAGACCTCGACGTTACAGACGAGCAGGAGCAGACCGCTATCGCGCGCGCTCTCTCTAACGCGTACAACGCCAACGCGATCAAATCCAGCCCCGCTGTGCTTGCGCCGGGTATGGATCTCGCCGCACTCGCCGGTTTCTACGTTCCGAACGGCTGCCCTGCGCCTAAGGGCATGGCTTCCGCTCCGCTCTACGCGCGGAACCGGACTTCCGCCTGTCCTCTGCAGGGGGGCGCTCCGTTACAAGCCGGCGCTCCGCTATACGTTCCGCGACATGTTGGCGCGGGAATGGCGGGGGTTCGAATCCGGGAGGTGACGGTTCGCGAGATGAGCGCTGAGCAGCAGCATATGCTTGTACCTGAGGACTCGGTATTGAGTAACTCGATGATGAATAACTACGGCGCGATGATGCTTTCGCAGCAGATGGGGCAGTTTCCGCGCATGACGCAATCCAGCCCGATGGTTGACCCCGCGCCAACCGCCGCTGGTGCCGCTGGTGCGCCCGCTTACGTCCGCCGAACCGCCCCCGCCGCCAGCGCTGGCGCCGCCGATGCGGGAGGGGTCGGCGGGATTGGCGCTGGCCGCTACGTAGGCGCGAGCGTGCCGAACTTTCCCACGCAGCAGCTTCTGTCGCAGACTATTCCCAGCCAGCCCGGCTTGGGTTTGCCGCCGTCGGATCAGCACGCGTTGCCGGCTGGAGTTACCGGCGCCGGTGGTCAGTCTCACCGGCCGTCAAGTTTATCGTACAAGCCGGGCATGGCTTACCAGCCGCGGACTCTTCGTCCTATAGGCCAGGGGCTTTCTCCCGCTAATATCCTTCCCGATAGTATCACAGGTTCGGATGGGGACGATGGTATGGATGCGCTAGGGTTAGGGATTTCGGTGGGGGGTGAGGGGGCGAGTTGGTCGCGCGCGCGGACGCTGGGCTCCCCGGCGGATATTTTGCGCAGCCCAGCTGTGGAGGTTCCTGGTTCGTCGATGTGGACTCCGGAGATTGCGGGCTCGTCGCGCTCCTCCCCCTTCTGGCCTACTTCCGTCGGCTCTGCCAGTTCCGCTTCCGCGAGTTCGCTTGCGCAGCTGGGCAGATCCGCGTCTAGCACAAGCATGCGCGGGGGGATTTCCGGCCTTGGGGGAATCATGAGGGAGGAAGCGAGTTCGCTGGGCGGAGTTGGGGAAGTAGCTGCGCGCCAATGCCGCGCTGAGCTCGAGGAGGAGGATGTTTCTGCGGCGGAGGCGACAACCCGTCAGATGCTGAGTCATTTGTGCTTGTAACGAGGTTCCAATCACGCGGCGAGCTGGCTGGGGTTTCTGCCAGGATCCTGTACTCGATATGGGATCGGTTGCAGAAGGTGTTGGCCAGCAACGCCAGGGGCGACGAACTTTTCTAATCCTCTTTCTGTTTCTGGATTTCGCTAGAGTACTGTAGTTCTCTTGGGCTGGTAATGACTGTGTGCGTGCAAGTTAGGTTAGGTGGTGTTTCTACACCTCCTGTCAGGCTCACTCCGGGTCAGCCTTGCGTGGTACTGTGCGATGAATATGTATGGCGAAGTGGTTCACTGCGGTTCGGATTGATCGGTGCCATGCAAGTCTGACAAGAGGCGAGTCTGACAGGTGGCTGTAGAATTGAGTGCTTACAAGATAAGCTGATGCAACATCGAAAAGTGGGATTTATTTTATTTTCTATCAATCCTATGGTAGACAGTGAAGTCCATGCCTGTGCATTTTAAGATTCAAAAAGCAACTATTGATAAATTCTTGTGCAATAACTGCTAATGGTTTAGCATGCAGTGAGCATTTTGAATGAAAGTGAAGTAACGGATGTCCCTCCTGATGATACAGTACAGTAGGCCCTACTAGCTAAGCACTACAACACCTTTCACAACCTTTTGATGAAGGCCGTTATGGTGGGAACTGCCTCCTCCAGTTTGTTACTCAGCGAGTGGTCAGCTCCACCAATCAGAGCAGAGCTTGCGCCGCCCATTGCAGCGCATAGTCTAACATGTCCGGAAGAGTTGGGAAAGGGGGGTGGGGGAGGGAGGGGGGGGGAAAGGAGGGGTGGGGGGGGGGGGGGGGGGGGAGGGAGTGGGGGGGAAGGGAGGGGGGGAGGAGAATGGTTCAAAAGCAGTCCTTTGCAGTGCACAGGCAGGCAGGTCAGGAAGAGAAGGAAGGGGGAGAGGGGAGTGCAAGGGGGGAGAGGAGGGGAGGAGATCTGCTGTGACTTTTTGGCAGACGTTCCGTTTAGAAACAAACGCAGTGACTTCGACTACTGTGACTTCGACTGCTGAGGCTTCGACTCAAACGTGGTATGAGCTTGTGGAAAACGAAGCAGATGCTCTAGAAATATCTCACGTGCCTGATAGAAACAAAGCAGAAGTTCATTCCAGGCAATGAAACGGATGTGTGGGAAGGAAGGGGGAGCAGCGAGTTACTTGCACACATTCATGCATGCATGGATGGAGGCGAGTTATCTTTGCAATAGCATCTCGTCTATGTGCTTTGGCACGAGTATCTTGTTAGAAACCAGGCAGAAGTTCATTCCAGGCAACGAAATGGATGTGTGGGAAGGGTGATTTTTTAGTCAACTGTCGACTCAAAATACAGAAGTGTATTCCGGGGGGCGAAATGGATGTGTGGGAAGGGTGATTTTTGAGTCGAATCAAACCACCGAAGTTCATTCCAGGCAACAAAATGGATGTGGATGTTCATTCCGAAGCAACAAAATGGATGCGGATGTTCATTCCGAAGCAACAAAATGGACGTGTGGGAGGGAAGGTGGAGCAGCGAGTTACTTGCACACATAGATGGAGGCGAGTTACCTTTGCAATAGCATGGCCTTGTCTACGTGCTTTGGCACGTACTGATGTAGGTCATGAGTGTTGCTAGCCATGATAGAAGGGAGCAGCAGTGTAATCGAAACTTTTAGCAAAAAGATTGACAGTGAAATACACAAGTTGCCCGTGTAATAGCCGAGATCTCAGAAAACTGAACTCAGATCCGATTCAAAAGATTAAAGCAATTAAAGCCTACTGATGTAGGTCATGAGTGACGGAGCCTAAAAAATAGACTCCTCACGCAAGGTCATGAGTAACGGAGGCATGTTACCTTTGCAAAGGTTTACCTACTCAACAGCGTACCTTTGCAATAGCATCTCCTTGTCTATGTGCTTTGGCACGTACTGATCCTCCCCTGATAGAATCACCTGTGTGGATAGGATGAATGCATATAGCGTATGGTTCAGGATGTACCGACAGACATAGCATGGTGTATGGGTGGATAGGATGAATGCATATCGTGATGTAGAGATCAGGATGTAGCGACAGGGCAAAGCATGGCGTATGGGTGGGTAGTGACGCTAGTGCACCATGGTTTTGAGTCGACTCAATAGTAGGATGAATGCATATAGTGTATGCATCAGGATGGACCGACAGGACATAGTATGGTGGATGGGTGGATAGAGACGCCCGTGAACAATGGCATGCATGGTGACATGCCATGGGACGGATGTATCTTCCACGCCATCACACCATATCATCTCAACATGCACGTCCATGCACCCATGTGCTCATACAGTCGTTCCCATATGTGCACCCACATGTGCAAGCCTCTCCTTAGGCACCATGTCACACCCATGGACCCACCAGAACCACCCCACCAGAACCACCCACCAGAGCCACCCCACCAGAACCACCCCACCAGAGCCACCCCACCAGAGCCACCCCACCAGAGCCACCCCACCAGAACCACCCCACCAGAACCACCCCACCAGAACCACCCCACCAGAGCCACCCCACCAGAGCCACCCCACCAGAGCCACCCCACCAGAGCCACCCCACCAGAACCACCCCACCAGAGCCACCCCACCAGAGCCACCCCACCAGAGCCACCCCACCAGAACCACCCCACCAGAGCCACCCCACCAGAGCCACCCCACCAGAGCCACCCCACCAGAACCACCCCACCAGAGCCACCCCACCAGAACCACCCCACCAGAACCACCCCATCATGCACGGTGTCATGAGGAGAGACTATGCATGGTGAGGGACTATGCCATGGGGAAGGAGAGACTGGGGCACATGGGATGCATAGTCCCTCACCATGCATGGCCATGCTGCCATGTGCCCCAGCTTCTCTCTGAGCTCATCATCTGTGAAGTCTGAACTGAAGATGTCGTCATCCCCACCCGTGCATGCTAGAGAGTGAAACCTGAATATGTTCCGCATGGGGCGGCATGCATGGGGCACACATGCATATATTTGGGCATGCACGCATGTGAACATGTCGTCATCCCCGCCCGTACATGCTAGAGAGTGAAACCTGAACATGTTCCGCATGGGGCGGCATGCATGGGGCACACATGCATATATTTGGGCATGCACGCATCTGAACACGTCGTCATCCCCGCCCGTGCATGCTAGAGAGTGAAACCTGCACATGGGGGATGCACACTTGGGGGATGCACGCATGGGGGTGGGATGCACGCATGGGGGTGGGATGCACGTATTTGAATACGTCATCCGTTCCTCCATGCATGTCAGAGAGTGAAACCGAGTGAACAGAAACAGACTCCTCATTTGAAGGCGAGGTGCCTCAAAAACAGACTCCTCACGCAGTGAACATCATTTCGGTGCCACAGGTCTTTGCGTGGCATCTGTTTTTGAGGCGCCTCAAAAACAGACTCCTCACGCAGTGAACACCACTTAGGTGCCATAGGTCTTTGCGTGGCATCGAGAATAAGCCATCCGTTTCCCCATGCATGCCAGGGAGTGAAACCTTCATATGCTTGCACAGAAGGGCATGCACACCTTGCAATATGCCAATGTAACTTCTGAGTCAACTCAAAAGTCGATTTTTGAGTCAAAAGTCGACTCAAAAATCGACTCAATAGTCACCTCGTTACAATGTCACACGACACACAAGAGGGGCTGCACAACTTGGAATATGTCATAATGTCTCTACTCGGTACGGTGCACTGGCACCTCTTTTTGAGGCGCCTCCTCACTCAGTACGGTGTACTGGCACATGTAAAGATTATAGAGTCCGCATGGAAGGTGATGGGAGCGAGTGGGAGCTCTTGGAAGGTGGGAGTCCGTATGTCGACTCGACTCCCATCTTTCGTTTTGAGTTGACTCACCCTGCTGCTCGCCCGAACGTCTATGGCTGTTTTTTACTGTTTCTCCTACTTGCTAACCTGTCTCCTGACGCCGCGCTCACTGGAAGATGTCCAAGGATGGCTGGAAGCTGCATGGCTGGAAGCTGAGAGTCTTCTTAAAATCACCTGTACGCCGTGATCGGCGCAAGCGGGTCGGCGCTTCTCGGCATCATCTCGGCCCCTCTGCCGTCCGCAATCATGGCTTGTGCCGCCCATTTCATTTCTTCCAATGCTGCCTGTGTCTCCTTCCCCCCCTCCCTCGCTTGCTGCTCCATGCACTCCCTGTCGCTCGTTGGCGCCTGGAGAGGGAGGGAGAGAGGGATATGCAGTATGAGTAGGCAGGGAAGGATGAGTAATAATGGTGCTGCTGCAAGTGCTTCCTCCCTCCCCCCCTCCCTTCCCCCCCCTCCCTCGCTTGCTGCGCCATGCACTCTCTGTCGCTCGTTGGCGCTTGGAGTTGGTGGTGGTGCGGGGGGGGAGAAGGGGGGTGGGCGAGAAAGAGAAGAAAGAGGCATGAGGAACAGTAATGAAGGTGCCTCCCCCCCCCCCTCCCTCGCTTGCTGCGCCATGCACTCCCTGTTACTCGTTGGCGCCTGGTGGGAAGGAAACACTCTCCTACTAATACTACGTTGGCGCCTGGTGGGACATGTAGTATTAGTAGGAGAGTGTTACTCCCTGTCGCTCGTTGGCGCCTGGAGGTGGTGGTGGTGCGGGGGAGGGAGAGAGGGATATGCAGTATGAGGAGGCAGGGAAGGATGAGTGATAGTGGCGCTGCGTGCACTCCCCCCCTCCCCCCCCTCCCTCTCTTAGTCTGTCCCCCACGTACTCCCGGCCTTCCTCCCCCCCTCCCTTGCTTGCTGCATCGCGCACTCCCTGTTGCTTGTTGGTGCCTGGTGGTGGGGAGAGAAAACTAGTTTTGAGGCACCTTAAAAAAAATTGAGTAGTCTATTTTTTAGGCGTCTATGTTTGAGGCGCCTATTTTTTCGGCACCTAAAAAATAGACTCCTCTGCTGGCGGGAGAGAAAACTAGATGTGAAGCGCCTCAAAAACTAGTTTTCTCTCCCCGCCAGCAGAGGAGAGAAAGTTGGGTGAGAGGAGGGCGACCCTAGTTAGGTTATCGCGACATGGAGAGAAGGGATAGCTTTGCTTTTGAGTCGATTCAAGAGAACAAAAGAAGAGGCCATTGCAGCACAGGGAGAAGAATGGAGCAGACTGTGGTGAGTTAGTAATTTCGTTTTGAGACGTCTCAAAAAGAGGCCATTGCATTGCAGCACGGGGAGAAGAAGGGAGCGAAGGGAGAAGAATAACTGTGGTACAGGTGCTGAATGCCTGTCGAATCCTCCCTGGCTTGCACCTACAACACCACCTGATAGCACCTGGAAAAGCACCTGGCAGGAGAAGCACCTGGAAGCACCTGGAAAAACCACCTGGCTGCACCTGGAAAACTACCTGACACCACCTGAGAGCACCTGAAGAATGGCTGCCTTGACAGCGCTATGGTGGCTGGAGGTGGGGCTCCTGAGATAGGCCACAATGTCCTGATGGGGGAGGTGAGGCGGGTGGCGAAGGGGTTTTGGGGGGGGGGTAACGGGGGAGAGGAGTGGGGGTGTGGGGGTAACGGGGGAGAGTGGGGGTATGGGGGTAACGGGGGAGAGTGGGGGGGGGGGGGGGTAACGGGGGAGAGTGGGGGTATGGGGAAAGCACGCACTGCCTTGACAGCGCTGTGGTGGCTGGCGGTGGGGCTCTTGAGGTAGGCCACAATGTCCTGATGGGGGGGGAGGGAGAGGGGAAGGGAGAGGGGAAGGGAGAGGGGAAGGGAGAGGGGAAGGGAGAGGGGAAGGGAGAGGGGAAGGGAGAGGGGAAGGGAGAGGGGAAGGAGAGGGGAAGGGAGAGGGGAAGGGAGAGGGGAAGGAAGAGGGGAAGGGAGAGGGGAAGGGAGGAGAATGGGGGGAATGTGCGGTTGAGCCTGCAACAACAGGCAGTGCAGCTCTTGAGGTAGGTCACAATGTCCTGATGGGGGGGGGAGATGTGGTGTGGGGGGGGGGGAAGTGGGGGAAGGGGGGAGGGGAGGGGAGTGAGGGAGGGGGGGAGTAGATGGGGGGATATGAGGGGAGCACATTGACTGGGGGGGCTCGTCCTTCAGGTAGACCCTGTTGAGTGCACCTGACAAACCAGTGCATTCTGTTGAATTCACCTGAATCTTCTGTTGTACACACCTGACATGCATTTCCCCTCTGTTGAATTCACCTGACGTGCCATTGTCCTCTGTTGGATTCACCTGGCAGCCCGTGCTGTGGCCAACAAGGACGACATCAGAGCCCTGGTACCGCTTGATGATGTAAGCGATGAGGTCATCTATTTCGGCAGCATCCTGCCATGGAGCACGGGGCATGGGCATGGTGCGGGTAGGTATGCACATAGGCAGGGGGGGAGAGGGGAGGGGTTCGGGGAATGAGGGGGTGGGTCGGGCATGATGTTGCTTGCAGGGAGCTTTTGTGAATTCTGAAAAACACCCCGAGGGGGTGGGGGAAGGCGGGGGTGGGGCGGGCATATGACACAGATCCATGCCCTTCCCTCCCCCCCTCCCCACTCCCCCCTCCCCCTCCCTCGTGCATGGGGAGGTCATTCTAGATCCTGAGGCCAGAATCCACGTGTATAAAGCAGTCGGAATCCATCCATGAGAGTTAAGAACCCTACGCCCTGAACCCCGAAACCCTGGCACTCTCCGCCCTACCTGCTCCGAGACGCTGCTCCGTAGCCAAGGGTGTGTTAGGTTATTGAGAATTCTAAAAAACGTAGCCAAAGTAGGAGGACGGCAGCTGTGCCTCTGCTCTGCACCAGCGACCAATGGACGGCATTGAGCAGTATCCCCCTCCCTCTCGCTCTCCCCTCCCTCTCCCTCTCCCCCCGACCTGCTACCTCTCCCCCCTACCTGCTCTCTCTCCCCCTACCTGCTCCCTCTCCCCCTACCAGCTCCCTCTCCCCCCTACCTGCTCCAGAGACGCTGCTCCGTAGCCAAAGTAGGAGGACGACACTGCGTCTGCACCAGCGACCAATGAATCGCTGCCA